TACAAAATGACTGATAACTAAATAACTATTCAAAATTTTTAAAAGGAAAAAAATACTTCTTCATTATGTCAAAACACAATTATGGGCCGAGTTTCGTGCCCGGGCGAGGCTTCTGGGGCGATATATTGTGATTACAGACACACACACACACAGCCGCGTTTATTATTATGTATAGATTACCGCACAGAATAAATGCACATTAAAAATTGAAAAAAAAATTTTTTTTTTAAATTTTGAGGAAAATATCAAACAACTAATTAAAAAAAAATGGGAGAAAATCCAAATTTGGACAAAATTAAAATTAAATAGATCATGTCGGTGAAATGATCGTGTGGGAGAAAGGAGCCAGTTGGCGTAGTGATTGTGTCGGCGAAATGAACCGTGTCAGCGAAGTGAGTTTACAAACTGGCATTGGCGATATGATCTGTCGGTGAAGTGGTTGTCGGCGATATAAACACAGCCCTTCAATTAAACTATTGTACAAGTATAAAAACGATTGCCCTCTCTGTAAAATAAATTAGTATTACTGTACATAATGAGGGGGGAAAAACTGATATATAAATGAATGAAAAGGGAGAAAAAGTTTATTTTGTATTATCAAATGAGTTGAAAATATGATTTTCGGTGGATTAAATACGCTAAACCAATAGCTTTTTTAATTTTCATTAAAAAGGAAATATTTTCTTTAATTTTTAAATTTTTATTTCATTTAATTACTATCCAACATTTATTAGTTAATAAACATAACAATAAGTTAATTATTTCTTCAAGAATTGAATTAAATACAGATATGGAAAATAATTAATCATTTTGCACTTTATTGTCATGAAAAAAAAACTGAAATAATATTTTAAATGGAATCAATGTTAATAATTAAAAAGGACTAATTAATATTACCAACAGTTGAAATTTATCTAGGAAAAAAAAAAGTAAAGCCGTAACTCAAAATTTTGAAGTTCTAAGCTCAGCTTCAGTAGTGAATAGAAATAGTACGTTGGTGTTAGTATTTAGTTAGAGTAGCAAGACTAAGATTATTTTGCAAATTATCATTTTGAACTGAGAGCACAATCTACAGAGTGAAAACACGCTGTGCCAAATGGTCCCAAATTCCCAAAATACACAGGATATTGTAATCCAGAAATTTTGGTGGTAAAAAGTCTGCTGCGCTTGAAAACACTATCCATTCTTCCTAACTCCAAACGTCCCGCAGATCGTTAAGACAAACAAAGTAAATCATGAAACCGCACTTTAACTTTTTTTTTAATGGATTGAAGTAAATATTTAACAGTATTTTATTCTTTAATTTTTCAAGAATTCGAAATTTTTATTTTTTATGAAATATTTCTGAAACTATTTTCATATATATGTTACCGGCAAAGTATGAAATCCGACATTGTATAGAATGCCTAAAATTAGCCGGCAAAGTATGAAATGATTTATATTTCACACATTTCCTAGGCATTCTATAGAAACCGGCAAAGTATAAAATACATCTCTGATTCGTCATAATGTCATTCAAAAGTGACAAATTCAAAACGTCATCCGATTTGATTTTAATTTGTTCGTGGATATAATTACATTAATACTTACTGACGATGGATTAGAAGAAACATCAGTGTTTGGAGTATCGGGCAAATATATACCGGGCAATAGCACTTGACCGTACGAAAACATCAGTGTAGGGTATACCGGGCAAATGTATACTGGGCAGTGGCACTTAACTAGACCTAGAATATATTTCGGACATTTACCAAAATTCTAGTCATACTAGGTCTAGTTAAGTGCCACTGCCCGGTATGCATTTGCCCGGTATACCCTACACTGATGTTTTTTTAAGGTCAAAGTGCCATTGCCCGGTATACATTTGCCCGGTATACCCTACACCGATGCTTTTTTAAGGTCAAGTGCCACTGCCCGGTATATATTTGCCCGATACTCCAAAAACTGATGCTTCTTCTAATCTATCGTCAGTAAGTATTAAAATTTCAAATAAATGTAATTATATCCACGAAGAAATTAATATCAAATCGGATGTAATAAATATTTCGGACATTCACCAAAGCGACTATGTGATTGTCAACATTCACCGGTGAACGTCATCAACCACCAATTTCGATCATTCGCAGTAACATGCACGTCATTTACATAATAACCTCATCAGGACGTTTATTTCATACTTCGCCTAAATAGCATTTGTCATTCTATAGAATGCCTAGGCATTATATACAATGCCTAGGGAAAGTATGTTATTATTCTCACATTTCATACTTTGCCTAAAAACATCCGACATCCCATACAATGCCTATAGGCATTCTATACAATGCCGGCGTTTCATACTTTGCCAGTAGCATATACAAGTGCTATTTTAATGTAGGATTGTTTAAAAAATGTAATGACAATAGTTTTCCCATAAAATTATTGCTTAAGATAACCTGATTCAATGATATAAGTGTGTTAATATTACTTAAGGAAAGTATATTACATAAGTAATGTATATTTAGTGTATAAAGCAAGAATATCAGTATCAAATTTGGCAACTTTAAAAATTCAAAATAATTTGTATTAAAATTTGCAATTTAGGTTTGCTGTTATGATAAATAAAGAACACAGTAGTACTAAAAGCTAAACGGAAACAAAACTTTCCTGATAAGAAACGTCTCTTACGATAAAAAAAAAAAGTATCATGTGCTAATTTGTTTAACTTAAAGGGAGATCCCCTCTGAAAATGTTTGATTTAATCTTGAAAATGTATTATATCTGTTTTTTTATCTCACAAAAATTACTAATGATAAAAAATGTATAAAAACAAACTGCTTCTACATCAGGTTTTACTTTAAACTTAGTATTTTATTAGTAGATTTTTTCCGTTGACCCTTGGTATGTATCGTAAATCTTTCTTTAAAATTGTTTTTAACTTTGTTTAAAATGAACATTAAAAAAAAATCCAAAATGTTATCATTATTATATATATATTCAAAGTATATCCTTTTCATATATTATCATAATTTAATATGGTTGAAGGAAAAATCAGTTCGGATTTTTACTTCTGAATTGTTAAAAAACTGCCATCAAAGTGTTTGAAACTAAGAAACGATTCTCTTCAAATGTACTCACTGTTAAGTTATTTTGGGAAAATTTTATTCAATGAATATTTTTACCGTAATTGCATTCGTAATATTTTTATTATATTTTTATTATAATTTAAATGAATTTTCCATAGTTCCGATAAATAATTCCGGACCAAATTATGGTAAAAAGTACAGTAAAAACGCTATTTTAAAAACTTTTTAAAATTGTACGTGACTGAAAAATTTTATGAAACAAGAAATCTGATATACTGTAATTTTTACAGTAATATTTATTGTTCTGTAGAATCAGAGAATATTTACCTTATAGAAAAGTTGAAATAAAATTATTTATAAGTGTGGTGTTTGACTTCAAGTCCAAAGTGTACAATTATAAAGGCAGTCAGTTTTTTGTCCTTATAACTAATTGCGTTTCATAAAAGAATTACTCAAAACAAAACTTATTTTCATTCTGAAGTAATTTATTTCATTTTATTATGGTAAGCCATTAGTCAAAATTAATATACTTTATTTCAAGAAAAATTCACGCATCGACTATATTTAAATTGAAAAACAAGTATTGCACTTAATCTTTAGCAGTTGTCATCAAGGAAGAACAATTACCTTTACCACCATTCACGCCTTGAATTTTCTTTTTCTTTTATAAACATCTCTTAAATATAGTTCAAAACATGTAGTAAAACATACAAAAGTAAACATGTGTGCGTTATTTTATTTATGCCATAAATAACTTTACTTACATAAACAAAACCTTTTTTTTTCCCTTCCTCATAAGCATTTTCTAGTGATAATGTGCCATCTGTACAAATAAACAAATAAATAAAATATGAGATTGGTATTACAGATCTTCTGAGTTCAATATATGCTTTTAGAATCAATTATATTAAAAACTATGCAGACTAGGAACAATAAGATTGTAGGGAGACATTAAGATTATTATAGTTATTCTTAAAAGAAAAAAGAAAAAATATTAATATTATCAAAACAACGAAGGTAGGATTACAAATGCGAAAACCTGTTTGATTGCCGGTGGAAACAGGGAGAAATTGAATTCCATCGGGCAACGGATCTGATTAGAATGTTTTTAATCTAAGCCTTCTTGACTGTAATTTATTTAATTACGACAATTTTTTGTTTTTTTTCAAGCATAAATATCAATTTGTAATCTCATAAGTACATACTTTTTTTACTTCATTTTTGATAAGGATTATCGAAATGCATATTGTTGTCGTTGCACGCAGGTTGTTTAACATTCTTCACAGCAAAATTACAGAATATGAAAAGACAATTACCTTAAAACCGTTTTATATTTAATTCATTTAAAAAAAATGAAAGTAACATAAGAAAACGAGAGTTGAAAGCTACACCACTGAGATACATGGTGTTCCGTAATTACTACCTGTAGTATTTAATTTTAAAATCCTTTCAAAGTGCATGCACATTGAAGTTACAAATTACAATTTTAAGGGGGATAGAAACAAAGCTAATATCGAATCACTAGTAATACAATCGAAATGAAAAACTTAAAAAAGAATGGAAAAAAAACTTGGAAATATTTCTAATAATCCTATCTTCCTGACTAATGATTTCTCATAATTCCCTTCTGTGTCCTTCGTCAATCTAACAGGGTTTGATGATTATCAGGCTTTCTCTAGTAGTGGTCCGAAGTGGGTTTTTTTTTTTTTTTTTTGTATCACTGAATTAATTTAAGTTAATGTGCATTTTTTTTACTTCAAATGCATGTTTTAAAAATGCTCACGAATTTTAAAGAAAAAAAATATGTATCTATACATTATAGAAGGCAATTTAATATTTAAGCAAAAAAGTAAATTAAGTGCTTTTGAAATCTGAGAAGTCCTTAGTTTGGAAGATAGGATGAAAAACACTAGAACCAGTTTGATTGACAGATGAAATTTGGTTCCAGTAACCAGCTAACATGCTTATAATAACTGCCTTTTCTACTCTTATCTATTCTATCCTGCTATCAAGCAGGTTTTGATGCTTGCAACTCTGCCTTCTTTCGTAGTGACTTGTTAATTTTCAATAGTCTTTTTGTTTTTTTCCCCCTCTCTTGAATTGTAATTTGTGAACCCAAGCCTGTATTTATTCTTAAAAGGATTCTACAAATATTTATTAAAGGTGGTGATTACGGCAAACGCTGTGCATACTTTTACGTTTTGAAGAAAATTAGATGAAAGGAGTGAGTGAGACTTAATTATGAAAAATATTGTTTTGAAATGAAGCTATTTAAAGATTTGCAACGATGTATTAAATTTATACGAGACATCGATATAGAACATAGTTATTTTTCTTACTTGCCTAGATTTTGGCCATTTTCTATAGCAATGTTAAATGTGAAACAATTATTAATTTGTTTATTATTTTTTTATTTCAGAATTTGAAAAATGAATTGCGAAGTATGTTTCGAAAAGTTTAAAGGTATAAAAAGTCTAATCGAACATGAATCGACTGATAATCATCAGGAAAACGTCAAGAAACATCAAAATACCTTATCAGGTTTTTCAACTGAAGGTATCCCTGCTGTTACAGTAACCTCTGAATCAGTCGCTGTTACTGCTGAAGGTCTCTTAATTTCTGATGCTGAATCAACCCCAGTTATTACTGAAACTGATTCTTCAGGATCAGTCCCAGTTGTTACTGAGGCTATTTCGGACTCAGCTCAATCAGTCCAAATAGCAACTGAAACTTCTCCAAATGCTGCACTTGCTGATTCAAATATGGTTAGTTTAAAGATTAACAACTTGTTTTCTTGTGTAGCATGTTCAATGGAATTTTCTAATCTTTCTAATGCTATCCGACACTCAGAAAATAAGTTGCATGCCACAATGGTTTTAGCTACCGGGATTGGTTTTGATGAACAAGCTGATATTTGTGAAGATTATATTGATTTACTTCCTAGGTTACACGCCTGCGCTGTATGCATTTTTTATTCCTTTAGTTTGAAGTATTACTACATGCACTTAAAATCTCGTAGTCATAGGGAAATAGTGCAGAAAATAAACAACTTTTTTCAGTTAGAGGTGGAAAATGCGGCCAATGTTTGCTTCAATGAACAAACGCCTAAAAATGGTTCAAAGATCCCTTTACAGCATTATTGTAAGTTTTGTAATATTCAATATAAAGATAATAAAGGTTACCGGCGCCATATCAAGGATCAGAAGCATAAAAAATTTTTACTGCTTATGAAGAAAGTAGCCCAAAGAAAAAAAGAAATTTTTGACGTAAGTTTCAGTGTAAAAGATTCCGAAAATTCGAGCAATTCGCAATATTACTGTGAACTGTGTAATATTTCGGTTTACTCCAACCAATATGAAAAACATTTGATATGGAAGACTCACAGAAGAGTTGAGCAATATATAAATGCATTGTTCTTAGAACACGCTGAAGAAATCGATATTTTTGAAGATTTAAATGATTTTGATTTCCACCCGGTTGGTTGCTGTTTTTACCATTGTGAGCTATGTGACACGTGGTGTTTGGGTTCTAAATGTTATGGAAATCATTTGAATGGAAGGAAGCATTGCAGAAAGACCGGACAAAAACCAATTGCCGCTGATTCTAAGTTAGTCGATAATATCAAGGATTCATCTTCTTCACCACATCGTTGTGAAGTATGCAATATTCAATACGCATCTTCGAAATGTTACGAAATACACTTGAGGAGCAAGGTTCATATTAGAATTGAACAAATATTGAGTGAACTATCTAAAATAAAAGATGAATTCGGCTCCAGTTCTGAAGCTCACGACAATCCGCCATTTGAGCCTAGTTTTGAAACACACGACAATCCCCTTCTTGGACCCAGTTTTGAAACACACGATGATACTGGTAAATCCTTGCAGTTGTCCTATTTTTGCAAATTATGTGATGTTCGATGTACTTGTTCAAAAAGCTATGATTCGCACTTGAAGGGTAAAACTCATAACAAAATTAAAAGGATTATGAGCACATTATCCATCGAAACTGGATAAAATGTTTTGACTAACTTTAACTATAAGAAAGTGAATTAACATTTCCTGTCCTTCTCTTATACTCTTTTGATACCTTTCGGAAATTCCAGAGCAAAAATTTCAAATATAACTTAAATCAAGAAATAACAGATTGTGTTGTGGTACAGTTTAGTTTTTAAACTAACTTTCGCTTTCGTTGAAGTCATTTTCATCGATCGTGAGGCAATTTTGATTGCAAAAGTTAAATACATAAAGAAATTGGGACAATGTATTGAAAGGCTATCCTTTATTCCAAAAGTTACAATTTTAATTTCAAACTAATTCTCAGTATCTACCTATCTAGGCATACTTTACATATTTCATGCAGATCGCGTAAATACATGTTTTTTAAATCCCTACGATCTAGAAAAAATCTCAAACTCAGTCGTAGCGAAACTGTTACGTTTCTACTATGCAAAACTAAAAAATAAAACTCATTCGTTATTACTACAAAAAATAAAAATCAATACCTATTTAGAACTACAATTTTTCGCTTTAAAAAAATTTTAAACTGAAATTTCAGCTACAATGACAAGGTTGCACCAGCTTAGATTAGATATCCTATATCCCTTAATTTTAATTTACTCGTATAACAGTCGAATTATTATTATTTGGAAAATTGGCCCACATGCACTCTGTTAACAAGTTTCTGGAATTTCCGCGTGATAAAAATACAATACACAAAATCATGGTATTACTTTCAAGGAAATTGGTTTGTTTTTCAACAAAAACTCGCTTAAAAATGCCCTGTGCGTTGTTAAAAATGTGTCTTATTGTCCTTAGCTGTTCATTTCCATGAATAACAAGACTGACACTGTTTTTTAAAAAAATTTAGTACGACAGAAACAAATTGAATATCAAGATATATGCAAGCAACTTTCATAATTTTATGGAAAACTCAGTTTATAGAAATTTCACTTATTTATTAAGACTTTAAATAAATTTTGATCTAATTCAACTTTGAAATGTACCACGATCTTAAGTACCAAATGTCTCTCTGATCATATGTTGAATACATTTTTTCACTTATATGTAGTTTGCAATGAGTAATAAAAGCGTTTTTTGTTCTCTTTAACCATCACTTATCTGATAATTTGTAGTCGTAGTTGTAGTTTTATTTACGTAGCACTTGAGCTGCAAAATGGGCTATAAGAGACGGTCTGGGAAACATCCCTGAGGATGATCCGAAGACATGACATCACAAATAATTATTTACATTCCTTTTAGGTTTAACGAGGCATACAGTGATTTAAGGAGGAATTTTACCAAATCTCCTTTGTCTCTGGGCAATTGAGATGAGTTAGAAAAAAAATTCTTTAATATTTAACTCTGATGCTAGATTTGTCTTCTTTAACTAACGGATACCCCCTCTTCCTCAACTTGTTAGAATTGAAAAGAAACTTGTTTGAAAGCGACAAAATTTCCCTCTAACGACTCTTAAGTGCTCCTTTGTGATATGAAGCATTTGGTTTAATCAGGTACATGTGAAACTCTCAACTCGTCATCGGGTCAACTGTGGCTAACAAAGTTACTGATAAGGAGACATTTTTAACATATACTTCTCACTTATTCCACATTTCAAAGAAACTATAAATTATGCTACATGCTATATATTACAAAATTCAGCTTTACTTTTTAACTGAAGTAAATTAAGGACATCTAGCGAATATTTTATGATTATTAATATCTAAAAACATAAAAGTTGTTCAGAATTCGTATGTTTGAAAAGAGAGTTTGTTTTTGAGTTTAAGTATTGTATGCTCGACGCTTACCTATATGCTTACCTATGCTTACGTATGCTTACCTATTTCTAATTACAAAAGCAGTAGATGCATTGAAAAATTTACGGATTGATTTGATAAATGAAGCAAATTTTATGGGAAAACAACTTTCGAAGACAGAAGAAGCTCATCAATTTCGGAAAATCAGTATGATGGAAGTAAATAATGAAATGAGTAATAAAAAAATCTTAATCATTTTTAAATGAGTTTCCCAATGGCTTTTTCATTTTTACTTTTTTGATCTGAAAAAAAAAAGTAGTTAATGACCATTAAAATATCTACATAGATTATCTTAACAACCTATTCTTTTTGGTTTCATTTTTCAATGCATCTACTGTTTTTGTAATTAGAAATAGGTTTCTTGTATGTCAAATGAAAGTCCCTCATACCGTTAAAAAATATTGCATACAAAAATATTTTGGATAAAATATTAAGCCTGCATAAATAATTCGAAAATATTCCTGTTTAAACTCTTTTAAATAAAATAAAAAATAATTTTTGTGATTGGAAAAAAAGTCTTCGACTAATCAAATGACGAAGTATTTATGATATTTATAATTATTGAAGACGAACAAATTTTAACCCTACATTTAGCTTACATTGTTTAAAAATGACCATTTTAATTTTTTGTGTGGTTATTTTGGCATCGGTGCTGTCGGCACAAGGGACGATAGGTATATGACCCCTTCAAAATTTAGAAACATCAAAATATCTCTCCTTATATTTCACACAATTAAAATTAAAACTTTCAAAATCATCCTTCATATAAATTTAGCTAAGGTAAAAATAAGGTAAGAAATTTAAACTTTAATCATTTTGTAGATGAAAGGTATTTTCGTCTCTTTTCTTTTTTATTAATTGCAAAATTTTGAAACTTTTTGGTAAAATGTATCTTATATTCGTCCCCTCTCGAAAACTAGAAGCCTGAGACGCTTGTATTTGGGGACAAATTTTCTGTACCATCTCTTGGAGATTTAAATTAGTGTATTGATCGGTTATTTCTTCAAAAATAATACAACTTTTTTAAAAAGTGTATTTAGTTCGCGTGCAAATACCACCAAAGTTGTTTTTTCCCCCAGTGTATATGAATCCTTCCATATGAATTCCGTTTTTGGCAATACAAAGAATAAGTCTTCAACGGGGCAAATACAAATTAAAGCAATATTTAAGACATTTATATAAAAGTTACTGAGGAAAATTTTCTGCCCGTACGTATGGCACATACGTACGGGCAGAAAATTTCGTTGTCGTTGAACAATGTATTTTGTAGTTGAACGTAGTAGTTGAATAAATTTGTAGTTGAACGTAAACGGCCTATTTAGGCACGTGTGAGCTGAATAAAAAGTCAAAATTTTTTGGTTTGCAATAATATACATCATGAATAACATTATATTTCTTCAAAGAAACCTACTTCCTTTTATAAATATCGAAATTATTTGCAAAAACAGCCGTAAACTGACTGTTTTGGCCCAATTGTGTTACTGAGTAATGCACTCCATCCCTACCAAAAAAAATGGCAATTTTAATTTAATTTACTTATTTGTTTACTTATTTGTGAATTTTTTAGTCATGGCACATAAGTAGAGGAACAAAATTTTAGTTTGCTAACTGGGTCTGGTTGAAATCACCGTTAGTCACTTCAAGGTCAGATTAATTTACCGACAACATTTCGCCCTTCGCAGACGCCATCACTTTGCCAACAGCTCATTTCGCTCAACTTGATCATTTAACTGACACAATCAATTTAAATATGATTCATATTTTCAGACTGACTTCCTTTATTTTTTATACAGATTATTTAGGCTGCGAACCATTTTGAAATTATTGGCCATGAGGGATTTGATATCGCGGTAATGGTAAGAACGTTATTAACTTACTCGAAAATTTGATTATTGCTGAAACCTACAAAAGCATTTATTAAGTATAAACACTGTAGAGATGTTCTAGGTTCGAAATAAAGCATGTTTCAACTTCAATTTTTATTTAAATTTTGATTTCTAAAATATCCTTGGTTAAAAAATAATCTTGTTTCTAAAATTAATGCAAACATGTTTAATTAAAGTTTCATTTGGAAGATTTTTTTTAGTAAAAATAATAATTTTATTGAAGAGAACTGTTCTGACAAATAATTCCTTTTAAAGGTGAAGCGAATCACAGGCTTCTGTTCTGCATATAATTTTTTATAGTTCAGCATTTAATTTATTATTTCATTATTTTAATTTCACTTTATTCATTTGAAATTTCACTGCTACATTCACATTTCAGCAAACTGTATCGGTTAGGAAACGATTGTTTCTATAATGAAATGTAAGGCTACGCTGCATCTAAACGTTTACGATAATATTGGTTATATTATAAAAAATATCGATTTGGCGTGTTGTATGGTCTAAATAATAATTATTAAAATTGTTTTTCTGTAACTGGTGTAAATACTTTATTAACAATGTCGGTGAAATGATCCAGTATCGTGTTGGATCGTGTTGGCGAAGTGATTGTGTCGGCGAAATGAACCGTGTCGGCGATGTGACAAACTGGCATTGCCGATATGATCTGTCGGTGAAGTGGTTGTCAGCGAGATGAACACGGCCCTTCAATTAAACTATTGTACAAGTATAAAAACGATTGCCATCTCTGTAAAATAAATTAGTATTACTGTAAATTATGATGGGAAAAAAACTGATATATAAATGAAAGAAAAGGGAGAAAAAGTTAATTTTGTATTATCAAATGAGTTGAAAATTTGATTTTAGGTGGATTAAATACACTGAAACCAATAGCGTTTTTAATTTTCATAGAAAAGGAAATATTTTCCTTAATTTTTAAATTTTTATTTCATTTAATTACTATGCAACATTTATTTGTTAATAAACATAACAATAAGTTGATTATTTCTTATAGTATTGAATTAAATACAGATACGGAAAATAATTAATCATTTTCCACTTTATTGTCAAGGAAAAAAATGAACTAACATTTTAAATGAAATCAATTTTAATAATTAAAAAGGACTATTTAATATAAACAATAATTATAATTCATCTAGGAAAAAAAAGTAAATCCATAACTTAAAATTTTGGAGTTCTAAGCTCAGCTTCAGTAGTGAATAAAAATTGTACGTTAGTGTTAGCATTTAGTTAGAGTAGCGAGACTAAGATTATTTTGCAAATTATCATTTTGAACTGAGAGCACAATCTACACAGTGAAACCACGCTGAGCCAAATGGTCCCAAATTCCCAAAATACACAGGAAACAGTAATCCAGAAATTTTGGTGGTAAAAAGTCTGCAGTGCTAGAAAACACTATCCATTCTTCCTAACCACAAACGTCACGCAGTGGACTGATCGTTAAGACAAACAAAGTAACGCATGAAACCGCACTTTAACTTTTTTTTAAAATGGATTAGAGTAAATATTTAACAGTATTTCATCCTTTAATTTTTCAAGAATTCGAAATTTTTATTTTTTATGAAATATTTCTGCAACTATTTTCATACATACAAATGCTATTTTAATGTAGGATTGTTTAAAAAATGTAATGGCAATAGTTTTTCCATAAAGTTATTGCTTAAGATAACCTGATTCAATAATATAAGTGAGTAAATATTACTTAAGGAAAGTACATTACATAAGTAACGTATATTTAGTGTATAAAACATGAGTATCAGTATCAAATTTGGCAACTTTAAAAATTCAAAATAATTTGTATTAAAATTTTCAATTTAGGTTTATTGTTATGATAAATAACGAACGCAATCGAACTAAAGGCTAAACGGAAACTAACTTTCCTGATAAGAAACGTCTGTTACGATAAAAAAAAATATATCATGTGCTAATTTGTTTAATATGCAACTTAAAGGGAGATCCCCTTTGAAAATGCTTGATTTGATCTGGAAAATGTATTATATCTATTTTTTTATCTCACAAAAACTACTAATGATAAAAAATGTATAAAAACAAAATGCTTCCCGTCAAGTTTTATTTAAAACCTTTAGAACAACAGTATTTTGTTAGTAGATTTTTCCCGTTGACCCTTGGTATGTATCGTAAATCTTTCTTTAAAATTGTTTTTAACTTTGTTTAAAATGAACATTAAAAAAAATCTAAAACTATTCAAGTCAGAAAAGCACTTAATGTATTGCGGCAAGCTTCAGAACAAAGAGGAGGAAATATCGAACACTATAAAAACTTCTATAAACTCTCAAATGATGTTGAAAAGTTAATTTTAAATACTGCAACTCAAGCAACTATTGATCGGTTTTTTGCAAAAAATTTGTAAATTTAATCTTATGTAGGGTTTTACTTTATTAAAATAATTAAATTAGTTAAAATAAAGCATTAATGTTGTCATTATTTTAGCTTTTAAAGTGTGTGTATTTAGAATGTATCGTAAAAAAAAAATTTTTTTTTTTCAAATGTTGAATCACCTCTTAATAAAATCAGCCGCTTAATAAAATCAAAAGAGCATAAAACGAAAGTGATTTTAATAAACGGCGGGCACTATATCTTTTTCATATATTATCATAATTTAATATGGTTGACTGAAAAATCAGTTCTGATTTTTGCTTCTGATTTGTTAAAAAACTGTTTTCAAAATGTTTGAAACTTAGAAACGATTCTCTTAAAATGTACTCACTGTTAAGTTATTTTCGGAAAATTTTATTCAATGAATATTTTTACTGTAATTAATTCGTAATTATATTCGTAATATTTTTATCTTAGTTATATTCTCATTATTATTCAAATGAATTTTCCATAGTCTACATAGTAAATAATTCCGGATCAAATTACGTTAAAAAGTACAGTAAAAACGCTATTTTAAAAACTTTCTAAAATTTTACGGAACTGAAAAATTTTACGAAACAAAGAAACTGATATACTGAAATTTTTACAGTAATATTTATTGTTTTGTAGTTTAATAAGTATTATTGTAAAATCTGCGGTACGAAATTTTACTTTAAAAATATATTTTACGATAAAATAAATTTGATGGATGATGCACAAATGGTTTCATTACTTTTTACCATAATTTGATCCATAATTTTTTATAGTGACCGTAGGAGAAATTTACCTGTAAGAAAAATTTCCTGATCTAACGGGGAAAATTTAATCAACCTGACTTTGAGTAAAAACAATTTGCAACCAAAGAGTATAATTAAAAGACCGACATTTTATTTATTTTAATTAAAAAATTTGCTAAGTTCTTGTGTTCTAAACCGAAATATAACTTTGTAAAATCCACTGTATTTTTTCTCTAAAAAAGGAATTTTTCAGTTACTTTAGGAATGAAATGAGGCTGAGTCTCATTCTTCAATACACTTGGAAAACTTTTTTTATATCAAATAGGTACTGCCATTTTGTTAATTTTAATTGAGCGAAATTTATCCCTGTTTATTGGTTCTAAACTGAAAGGGGAAACTCCCCCTATAAGGGAATGTTGCAGTTTCCAAGTTAAATAACGTTAACACAAATCATAGAACAACAATCAAATGCTCTTAAAGGTGTATTTAGTCATAGGGAAAACTCCCCTAAAGATTAGAGTTTTGAAAGAAATAAAACTTTATGTTTTTTAAACGATTTTTTTATGATTATACACGAATTAAGTGCACATTTTTTTAAAAAGTTGTTTTTCTGATAGCACAATGCAATTACTGTCGCTAAAACATTTAAAGTCGAAGATAACTTAAGAAATAACAAAGCATAAATTTCTGACCATTTAATTAAAATATTCAATATGACGATTTTATTTAAATACTTTACTCAAACAATATTAACCTTATAGAAAAGTTGAAATAAAATTATTTATAAGTATGGTGTTTGACTGTTAAATATCAATTTATAACCACATAAGTACATACTTTCTTTACTTCCTTTTTGATATGGATTATCGAAATGCATATTGCTGTGGTTGCACGCAGGTTGTTGTATATTTTTTATAGCAAAATGACAGCATATCAAACGACAAGTACCTTAAAACCATTTAATATGTAATTCATTTAAAAAGGAAGAACATGACATAAAAAAAACGTGAATTGAAAGCTACTCCACTGAGATACATGATATTCAGTAATCACTACCTGTAATATTTAATTTTAGAATCCTTTCAAAGTGCATGCACATTGAAGTTACAAATTAATATCTAAGGGATATAGAAACAAATGTACTATCGAATTACTAGTAATGAAATCGGAATGAAAAACGCAATTTGATATTTAAGCAAAAAAATAAATTAAAACGCTTTTGACATCTGAGGAATCAGTAGTTAGAAAGATAGGATGAAAGACACTAAAACCAGTTTGATTGCCAAATGAAATTTTGTTCTAGTAACCAGCTAACATGTTTATAATAACTGCCTTTTCTACTCTTATCTATTCTCTCTGGCTATCAAGCAGGCTTTGATGCTTGCAACTCTGCCTGCTTTCATAGTGACTTGTTAATTTTCAATAATCTTTTTTTTTCTTCCTCGCTTGAATATTAATTTGTGAACCAAGCCTGTATTTATTTTTAAAAGGATTCTACAAATATATATTAAAGGTGGTGATTACGGTAAACACTGTTCATATTTTTACGATTTGAAGAAATTTCGATGAAAGGAGTGGTTGCGACTTAATTATGAAAAATGCTGTTTTGAAATGAAGCTATTTAAAGATTTGCAACGATGTATTACATCTATACGAAACGTCAACACAAAACATATTATGCTATCTTTCTTATTTAGGGCTTAAACATTTTCTATAGCAATCTGAAATGTGAAAAAGTTATTAATTTCTTTTATTTATTTATTTTATTTCATTTTCAGAATTTGAAAAATGAATTGCGAAGTTTGTTTCGAAAAGCTTAAAGGTATAAATAGCCTGATCCAGCATGAAACGACTGCTAATCATCGGGAAAATGTCAAGAAACATCAAAATACCTTATCAGATTTTTCTACTGAAGGTATCCCTGCAGTTACAGTAACCTCTGAATCAGTCGCTGTTACTGCTGAATGTTTTATAATGTCTGATGCTGAATCAGCCCCAGCTGTTTCTGAAACTCTTCCAGTTACTTCAGGATCAGTCTCAGTTGCTACTGAATCTATTCCGGACCCTTCTCAATCAGTCCAAGTAGCAACTGAAACTTCTCCAAATGCCGCACTTTCTGTTTCAAATGTGGTTAGTTCAAATATTAACAACTTGTTCTCTTGTGTGGCATGTTCAAGTGGATTTTCTAATCTTTCTAATGCTATCCGACACTCAGAAAGTAAGTTGCATGCCACAATGGTTTTAGCTACCGGAATTGGTTCTGATGAACAAGCTGATATTTGTGAAGATTATATTGATTTATTTCCTAGGTTACATTACTGTATTGTATGCATTTCTTATTCCTTTAGTTTGAAGCTTTATTACGTGCACCTAAAATCACGTAGTCATAGGGAAATTGTGCAGAAAATAAACAACTTTTTTCAATTAGAGGTGGAAAATTCGCCCGATGTTTGTTTCAATGAACAAACGCCTAAGAATGGTTCAAAGCTCCATTTACAGCATTATTGTAAGTTTTGTAATATTCAATATAAAGATAATAAAGGTTACCGGCGCCATATCAAGGATAAGAAGCATCAAAAAATTTTACTGCTTATGAAGAAAATTGCTCAAGGAAAAAAAGAAAATGTTGACGCAAGTTTCAGTGTAAAAGATGCTGAAAATTTGAATAATTCGCAATATTACTGTGAGTTCTGTAATGTTTCGGTTAATTCCAATCAATATGAAAAGCACTTGATATGGAAAACTCATAAAAGAGCTGAACAATATATAATTACAATGTCCTTGGGACATGCTGAAGGTATCGATATTTGTGAAGATTTAAATGATTTTAAGTTCAACCTGGCTGGTTGTTGTTTATATTATTGTGATCTATGTGAAATTTGGTGTTTTGGTTCTAAATGCTACGGAAATCATTTGAATGGAAAGAAGCATTGCAGAAAGACGAAACAAAAGCAAATTGCTGCTGATTCTACATTAGTCGATAATATCAAAAATTCGTCTTCTTCACCACATCGCTGTGAAGTATGCAATATTCAATTCGCAACTTCGAAACGTTATAAAATGCACTTGAAGAGCAAGATTCATATTAGAATTGAACAAAGATTGAATGGACTATCTAAAATAAAAGATGAATTCGGTTCCAGTTTTGAAGCACTCGACAATCCCCTTATTGGACCCAGTTTTGAAGCACACGGCAATACTGATAAATCCTTGCAGTTGTCCTATTTTTGCAAATTATGTGATGTTCGATGTACTAGTTCGAAAAGCTATGATTCTCACTTGGAGGGTAAATTTCATAAGACAATTAAAATGATTATGAGCACGTTATCCATCGAAACTGGATAAAATATTTCGACTAATCTTAACTGTAGCAAAGCGAATTTCTTAACATTTCTTGTCCTTATTTTATACTTCTTTAATATCTTTCGGAAATTCCAGAGCAAAATTTTCAATGAAAACTTTAATCAGGAAATTACAGATTATGTTGTTGTTTAGTTTAGTTTTTAAACTAAATTTCTCTTTTAGTGAAGTCATTATTATCGATAGTGACGTAATTTAGTTCACGAAAGTTAAATAAATAAAAAAATTGGACCATATATTCATAGGCTACACTTTTTTCAAAAATTTACAATTTTTGTATCAAACTAATTCTCAGTGGATAGGTACTTAACATATTGCATGCAGGTCGAGTAAATACATGTTTTTTACATCCCTACGATCTAACAAAAAATTTCAATATTGGTAGCAAAACTATTTTGTTTCCACCATGTAATACTAAGAAATAACTCATTCGTTATTACTACAAATAAAAATGATTCAATAGTTACGTATTTAATACTACTATTGTCCGCTGTAAAAAATTTTAAACTGAAATTGCAGCTATAATGACAAGTTTGCATCAGCTTGGAATTTATACCTTACCACCTATATCTTTAGATTTTAATTTACTCGTATAACAGTCGAATTTTATTATTTGGAAAATTCACCGACATGCACTCTGTTACTAAGTTTCTGGAATTTCGACGCGAGAACAATACAATAATATACAAAATCATAGTATTACCTTCAAGGATTTTTTTTAAACAATAGCACGTTTATAAAATGTCCTGTGCGTAGTTAAAAAATGTGGCTAATTTCCCCAAGCTGTTCATATCCATGAATAAGTAGACTGAGACTGATTTAAAAAAATTATCACGACAGAGACAGATTGAATATCAAGATATATGTTAGCAACTTTCATAACTTAATGGAAAGTTCAGCTTATAGAAATTTCACTTATTTATTAAGTGAAATTTCTATAAGCTGAATTGATTTTACACATACATGATTTCACTTATTTAGACTTTGATTAAATTTTGATATAGTTCAATTTTGGAATGTACCATAATCTTAAATACCAATTGTCTCTCTGATCATATGTTGAATATATATTTTTACATTTATATGTAGTTTGCAATGAGTAATAAAAAAGTTTTTTGTTCTCTTTAACCATCACTTGTCAAATAATTATTTACATAACTTTTAGGTTTAACAAGGCATACAGTGATTTAAGGAGGAATTTTATCAAATCTCCTCTGTCTCTGGGCTGTTGAGATGAGTTAGGAAAAAAAAAAGTTGATATTTAACTCTGATACTAGATTTGTCCTCTTCAACTAACGGATACCCCTCTTCCTCAACTTGTTAGACTTGAAAAGAAACTTGTTTGAATGCGACAAAATTTCCCTCTAACGACTCTTAAGTGCTCCTTTGTGATATGAAGCATTTGGTTTAATCAGGTACATGTGAAACTCTCAACTCATCATCGGGTCAACTGTAGCTAACAAAATTACTGATAAGGAGACATTTTTTAACACATGCTTCTTACTTATTCCAAATTTCAAAGAAGCTATAGGTTATACTTTATACTATATATTACGAAATTCTGACTTATTTTAACTGAAGTAAATTAGGGACATCTAATGAATATTTTATGATTGTTAGTATCTAAAAACATAGAGGTTGTTTAGAATTCATATGTATGAACAGAGAATAAGTTCTTGAGTTTAAGTATTGTATGCTCATTTATGATTTGATGTTCCATAAATGAAGGGAATTTTATGGGACAGAAACACTTTCGAACACAGAAGAGATTCATGAATTTCAAAAAATCAGCATGAGGAAAATAAATAATGATATGAATGATAAAAAAAATCACAAGTATTTTTAAATGATTTTCCCAATGGCTTTCCATTTTTACTTTTTTAATCTAAAAAAAAAATAGTTTTTGACTGTTAAAATATCTACGTAGATTATCTTAACAACCTCTTTTCTTTGATTTCGTTTTTCATTGCATCTACTGTTTTTGTAATTAGAAATAGGCTTCCTGTATGGCAAGTGAAATTCCCGCACAGCCTTAAAAAATATTGCGTGCAAGAATATTTTGGATAAAACATTAAGCTTGTATAAATAATTCCGAAAAATGCCTGTTCAAACTCTTTTAAATAAAAAAAAATCTCATTTTCTTATTGGAAAAAAAAAGTCTTCGACTAATCAAATGGCAGAATAGTTATGATATTTATAATTATTGATTACGAACTAATTTTAACCCTACCTTTAGCTTACATTGTTTAAAAATTGCCATTATCAAATTTTTAGGTTATTTAGGCATCGGTACCGTTGGCGCGAGGAATGCTAGGTACATGACCCCCTCAATAACGAGAAATATCAAAATACCTCCCCTCACGCAAGTAAAAACAAAATTTTCAAAATCATCCTCCATATAAATTAAGCTAAGGTAAAACAAGATAAGGAATTTAAACTTTATAATCATTTTGCTGATGAAAGAAATTTTTGTCTCTTTTCTTTTTTTATTAAATGTAAAATTTTGATTGGTTTTGGAAGAGTGTATCTTAATTTCGTGCTCTTTAAAAAACTGGACTCCTGAGACGCTTCTGCATTTGGGGACAGATTTTCCTTACCATCTCTTGGTGATTATTCGATTTAAATTATTGTATTGATTTCAACCTCTTGAAAAATAATACAAATATAACTTTTTTAAAAAGTATATTTAGTTCGCGTGCAAATATCACCGAAGTTTTTTTTTCTTCCCAGTGTTTATAAATCATTCCAGATGAATTCAGTTTTTTGTAAATAAGGAGAAGTCTTCAATGTAGCAAATTCAAATCAAAGCAATATTTAAGATATTTATATAAAAGTTATAGAGGAAAAATCTTTGCCCGTATGTATGGCACTAGTAGAACTGAAACGGCCTGTTTAAGCAAGTGCGAGCTAAATAAAAGATCAAAATTTTTTGGTTTACAATATACATTATGAATAACATTATATTTCTTCAAAGAAACCTTCTTCCTATTATGAACATCGAAGTTAAGTGCAAAAACAACCTTAAACTGGCTGTTTTGGTCCAATTGTGTTACTGAGTAATGCACTCCATCTCATCCAAAAAAAAAAAAAAAAAAAAAAAAAAAAANAAAAAAAAAAAAAAAAAAAAATGGCAATTCTAACTTTATTTACTTACTTGTTTTTTTTATTTTTGAATTTTGTTAGTCATGGCAATTAGGTAGAGGAACAAAATTTTAGTTTACTAACTGGATTTGGTTGAAGTCACTGCTAGTCACTTCAAGGTCAGATTAATTCCCCGACGACATTTCGCCCTTCGCAGTCACCATTACTTTGCCGACAGCTCATTTCGCCTATGCTCATTTCGCTCACTAGATCTGACGCGATCAATTTAAATATGACTCATGTTTTCAGACTAACTTTCTGTATTATTTATAAAAATTATTTGGACTGCGAAATTTTTTGAAATTATTTGCCATAAGGGATTTGATATCGCGCTAATGGTCAGTGCGTTATTAAATTACTTACTCGAAAATTTGATTATTGCTGAGACCTACAAAAGCAATTATTAAGTATAAGCACTGTAGAGATGTTCTAGGTTTGAAATGAAGTATATTATAACTTCAATTTTTATTTAATTTTTTATTTCTAAAATATCCTTATTTTTAAAATTAATGCAAAACATGTTTGGTTAAAGTTTCATTTGGAAGATTTGTTCTTTTAGTAAAAAGATTATTTTTATTGAAAAGAATAGTTCTGACAAATAATTCCGTTTAAAAGTGAAGCGAATCATGGGCTTCCGTTCTACACATAATTTTTTATAGTACAACAATTAATTTATTATTTCATTATTTTATTTTTACCTTATTAATTTGAAATTTCACTATTACATTTACATTGGATACTATTGAAATTTTACTATTACATTTTACCAAACTATCGGTTTGGAAATGGTTGTTTATATTATGAAATGTAAGGCTACGATGTATCAAAACGCTTACGATAATACTGGTTATATTATCACAAATATCGATTTGGCGTGGTGTATGGTCTAAATAATTATTTAAAAAATTCTTTTCCTTTAACTGGTGTTAAATACTTTATTAACTATTATAACATACTCTTACATTTCTATATTTTCCATAAAATTTTAATTTTCAAATAAAAAAATGGTTGTATAAAGGAAATTAATAGCTCAATTATTAATTAAACCCATTTCTGTACTTGCTTTTGTTATTCTTATAAATAGACACGTTTTTGTAAGCGATGTAGGTAAGTAATATAACCAATATAAAAACCAAACTCTAAACATAACCCCTAGATTAAAACCTAAACCATTTTTCCTCAATCGGTTAGATTTCGATCTCCCAAGGAGCGTGTGAAGTCTATAAAGAGGAAATTTTAACTGACTGAAAAAATGTAGAGCAGCAGTTGGGGGATCAGATGAAGTGTTTTCAAAATAACCACCACAAAACTGTTAGAACAATTATTTTCAATCAAAATATTTGTCCTTTAAGTAATAAATATCTTCCAAATGTATTTAATTGAACTTAAAACAAGCTTTTTTTTACTTCGGTATATTCTAAAATACAGTACGTAATGAATAAAAAATTAAAAAGATATATTAAAGTTGACAAGCACTCCTTTTCATTCCTGAGCAATCTCTACAGCGCTAATACTTAAAAAGCCTCAGCAAAAACAAAATTTATTTACAAACTTATTTATAACTAGCCGCCTAAGGCGGCCAGCTGTC